GCAGTGGACCAGCTTAGCTGGACAAGAGGAAGCAAGAACTACCATGAGCAAGAGCCATCCTGGCAGGTGTCTCTTCCTGTGCCCCCCTATCCCATTCCCCTCCTCCTCCTTGAAGGGGCTTAAAGCCCAGTTTCTCAGACTGGAGAATCCTCAGAGTTCTAAGGATGTTATGACCCTTCTTGGGCTGGAGGTTGAAAAATACTGCATTAAATATTAAAAGCTGGGACTTCAGGTGGGCCCTCCGTTTTGAGGTGTCCACAAAGCAAACACACATGTGAAAGCGGGGTTTCAGATTGGATGCAGATCCAGAGCAGTCTCTGTTTCTCATGCCAGGCTGGATAAACTCTAAAATATGTCATGAAGTGCCCAGGCTCCATGAAGCCCAGGCTGAGAACACAGAGCTTCAAGAGCTGCACCTGGTGGGGCTGAGGACGGAGTCTTGGCTGCCCTGGAGGCCATGGGGAATGGGGGAGGGGTTCTTGGACCCAGGCCCCGGGGGCCCCGCCCTCCTCCTACTCAGGCCAGCCCTGAAGTCCCCATCGTGCGTCTCCTGAACGTGGAGGTGGGAGCTCCCTCTCCAGGATGCAACCTGACAAAGACATCTCTTCTCGATTTCTCCCTGGTAGTTAACATGCTCCCTCCCTCCCCCCACCCCATCCTACGTTGGTTGGAATTCTTTCACTTGCCAGGGAAAAGGAAAAAAAAAAGTAAGTTCTAAACTTTTCATTAAGTAGTTGGGATAAGAAGTCTTCTGGGGCAGTCGGATTAAACCTCGGTGGCTCTCACTGACTATTACCAGCTAATTGAGCTCTGGGAGCTCATTGGCGGCTGCAGCAGCATTTTGCTGGAGTAATTATGCAAGGCCATGGTCGTTTTCAGTAACAAGGTAACTCCAGGTAAGGAGAGAACTCCATGAAACTTCTGATTTGCCGGAATCCTCCTCCTTTTATTTCTTCATTAAGATGAGCCCAGGGGAGACAAAGGCCCAGAGACTGGCTCTTTGGGAAGCTGCCGCCCCACGGGGGATTTCTGCCTGAACGGCCCCGATCACGTGGTCCCTTGGCTGGGGCCTGATGCGAACGACCCAGCACATCTGGGAGAACCCTGATGGGCCAGTTTTACGTTGATTGGGATTTGGGGTCCATAGTCAGACGCTCTGGAGTATAGGATGGAGAGGGATGGGTGCAGACATTGGAAGTTCAAGGACCGCTGACCAGGGAGCAAGGAGATGCTCAAGCCAGCACCTTCACTGCTGACATGTGTGCTGAGAGCAGGCCTGACCGCAGAGAACGAGGCCCGAATCACATCCTCTGTCTCAACTGGGGTCTCTCTGTCCTGGGTGGGCATAAAGAGGGTCTTTTCTGTCCCAGAGGATTCTTTATGGTAAAACTTTTTTCGACACGCTGCCCTCTCTGGCACCGCACCTCCAGCCAGAGTCATAATCAGGAGGTCGGGGGCCTGAACCTGCCACCCGCAGGCCCCGGACGAAGTAGCCTGGAAGGACTTTTCAGCGCCCTTTGGCAGGGGTCCTGGGGCCTTGCCAAGCCAACCTTGTCCTCTGGGCGGCCCTGCCCGGCCTCTGGCCCGCTGCCCACCTGCATTGAATCATGCCCCTCGGAGGACAGTGTGTAACTGTGCTTCCAGGTACAGCCCCCAGCCTCCCCCCCCCCCCGAGCGCTCCATCTTTCTGACACCGCAAGCCCTGTGGGGCTTTCTGCCCTCACTTCTCAGCCCGGCACAGCCTAGAATCCTGCTCGGCGAGCATACGTAGAGCTGTTTTTTTTTTTTTTAAAAAGTACACAGCCCATCACTTCTTTCTGTTCTCCATCTCCTACTTCAGTTGGCACAACTCTGCCTTCAGTCTTGGGCCTGGACCGTCTTCTGTCTCCATCTCACATATAAATGTGTCCCAGTCAGAGGCTGGCTGCATCGAGACAGGAATGTGGTGTTTGGTTAAATTGTAAAATTAGCTAGGAAAGTTAATGAGGCATTCTGCCTCTCCCTTCCGAAGAGCAGGAAGTTGATGAAGGTGCTTTGAGCGCCTTGCCTAAGGAGGGAAGGAGGAAAGGAGGGAGCTGGCCAGGCAGGTGACGGAGCCCATCCCGGGGAGTTTGCCGGCCTCGGATCCGGCTGTGGCTAGCTTGGCTGAAGGACACCTGAGAAGTCGTCCCTCAGAGCTTCTGTTTTGGGGCAGCCTCCATCCACTGCTTTGAATTCACAGAAGCTCCCTCCCTCATGTCCAAGATCTCTGAGACCATGGGCCACTGGCTCTGGTGAGCCATTCTTGTGCTACGTTCCTTATTTGGTGGCTGTGCGAGGCCGGAGAGACAAAGACCAAACGCTTCGTCTCAAAGGGCGCCCAGAGCAGAAGGGAGAAGACCAGACAGTTGTAACAGAGGCTGACACTGACCAGTCCTGTGCCAGACACTTGACTCCGTCACCGCATGTCATCCCCACCAGACCCCTGTGACCACCCCTATTATTATGCCCACCTTATGGATGAGGAAACTGAGTTTCCTGGCTCAGGATCACCAGGGAATAAGAAGCAGAGTTGGGATGTGAATTCAGGTCTCCCTGCCTCCGAAACCTCGGGTCTTCATCTCGGAGGCAAAATGATTTCCAGTGCCTCTCCAGGCTGCCTGCCTCTCCCAGCTCCTAGCTCCGTGGCAGACTTGCACACTTGCAAAACTGGCCCCAAAGCTTTGAAAATCACATTCTCAAAGGTGCGTGGAGAAGAGCTGCCGGCAGACTGTGTTCTGCCCTCACCAAATTCTCAGGTCGTCTAATGACACCACACGAACCCTCCTGTTCTCCGGCAGCAAGCTGATGTCATTTGCATTGTCAGACGCACTTTAGTAATTCTTAACACAGGAAAAAGGTACCCCACCTGGACCTTTTGCGTGAGGTCAGCCAGAAAAGCCGAGTTCTTTTTTTTTTTCTTGGTTGGGGGGCGCGTTGGGGTGATGGTTCATGCTAAGAACGGGCATGAAGTGTGACAGGCAAAATTTCTGTTTTGAAAAGTGTGGAGGCTTCAGGCTTCTGAATTTTGAGCCTGCAGACGTCAGTGCCGTTGCTGTAATGTAACACCTCAATTATGGTGCGGGGGGTAAGGGAAGAAAGACTCTGAAACCTGCAAGCTTCTTTAGATCCACAGCCTGAGCCACAATTAAGGTTTCAGAAACACCAAAGGCAAGCCAATGAGTGTCATTTTTAACCAGTTGGAACATTTTACTACTTCCTAACATCAGAAGCACCCGGGCTGGAGAGCCTGCTTCTTGTCCTCAATAAAGTGATTAAGCTGAAAGGGGGTTGGGGAGTATTATTAGGCTGAGAAGTGCTAAAAATAGAAATGCTCTGTTTTCTGAAAGCCACCGCAGGCCTGGAGAGACTGGCAGCCTCGAGGTGCCACTGAGGGGCCTGAGGGAGGTGGAGGGGCAGAAGACTCCAGGGTCCCCTGGCCCGAGATGGGGTCGTGGCTGTTGTGACGGGCGAGCCAGGTGACGGGCCTCTTTCCCAGCTGTCATCAAGAATAGAGTGACAGTGGGAGCTGTGGGTTGGTTGCTTCTGACTTGGTTTGAAGAACCCCGCAGGTGTGTGTGTGTGTGTGTGTGTGTATTAGTGAATTTAAAGTAACTGATGACATTGAAGTCTATCTAGGGTGAACACTTTGGCCTAAAATCTACATATTCAGCCCCAAACTAATTGGATTACCTGCTGTTCTTGGGGGGGAAGGACCCAATTTGGGCAGTGAATAAAGGGCGGATGATAAGAGGCACGTGCAGAGAGAGCTGGGGAAGGGGAGAGACCTCGGAGCCAAGGGTGAGCATCTGCTCGGTGGCGCCTGGATCAACGAGGCTGCCCGGGAAAGGGGCACGAGGGGGACTTTCTGGTTAACCGAGGGCCAACCAAGGAAACCTTGTCAATTTTGTTCTTCGTACTTTGCTGTCATTCATCAATGTGAGGGGCCATTTTTCTATTTTAAGTGAATACAATTGATTGTCTTTTATGATAGACTGGCTTGCTTGCTTAGAAGCCAGAAGAAGAATGCCCAGGAAGGGAGCCAGTCGTGGAGGGCTGTCCCCAGTTGTGGTTTTAGCTGTAAGTCAGTCTAGAAGTTCGGTGGTACCTTTTCTTCTGTCAGGCCCTACATGTCTTCATGTCTTGAACTCATTCCTTCCCCTGTCAGCTTTAGGTAGCTCTTAACACCTAACACGATGTCCATTTTGCAGGTGGAGAAGTGGATGCCGAGTCACTCGGGATTCTGGACTACACCACAGTCCACAGCAGAGGCAGATCTTGACTCTGGCGCTGCTGGCCCCAGTCCAGGCCCTGTCTGATGGACAGTGGTGGTACATTCCTGGGCCAAGAAGGGAGGGTGGTTCTTCAGAGGGAAGTGTTTAGAGAAGAGGGTATGGCCTTCAGGCTGGTGGGAAAGATCCCCTACATCCGGGGGTGAACCGGAGCGTGGAGAACAGCAGAGGTGTCGAGCCCGTTGCCTCTGGGACCTTTCTCTCCTCCCCTTCATGTGAACTTCTTACCCTTTCACTGTTTATATGTATAAAGTCAAAATCGAAGGCCCTGATGATTAGATGGATTTCCACGCTGCCATCCTGAGTTTGTTTCTTTTTCTTTACACGTACCGGCTATGAGCCCTTGGACCAGTGAACTAAGCTTTACAAACCTCGGTGTTCACCTCTTTAAAATGGGGACAATCTTAGAGCTGATGGGAGAGTTAAACGGTACGTGGCATGTCAAGTAGTTAACATGGCATTTATTTTATAGTAAGTGCCCAATAAGTGTTAGTTATCAATATTCTCACAGGAGCAGCGGCAGTGTCATTGCTTCTCACTGCAGGGCAGCCCTTGCCGGACCCCTAGCATCCTGGGAAGGGGAGAGTCAGGATGCAGTTGCCAAGCGCGCCCGTTCCTGTGGCTGGGCATCGTCATATGCATCATCTCCTTAAAAACTCCGAACAAGCTTGCGGCCGCGTTTTTGATTGAGCGGTGCTCCCTGGAGTTGTGCCACTTCTAAAGTCCCACTTGTAGGATCCGAGGGATGTATCGTTACCTGTTCAGCAGGTGGGGAAACCGAGGCTCGGGGAGGTTAGACTGCTTCTGTTCTTGGTGTAGCTGGGGGGCATCTGAGCGGAAATCTTTCGACATCAAAGCCAGGGACAGGCTTGACAGTGACTGAATCCTTCCCCTTCCCGGCAGCCCGGAGGGATGTCTGGAAGGGCTGAGGTGTGGCTTCCTGGCGGAGCTCTCGAGAGTAGAGAAGTTGCTGTCTGCAGGCTCTTACAGGTCACAGCCAGCGGAAGAGTCAAGGGACACTCGTTCGCAGAGCCCTGCCCGCTGGTTTCTTGGGGGATGGCAGGGGTTATCCCACTGTGATGGCGCTTGATGCCCCCCGAAATGCTCTGTTTCTTGTCACTTGCTGAAATATGATTACCTAAGCAGAGGTACACAGAGGGAGTAGCGAGTGGAACTGGAGAGAGATGCCGGGGGTAGGGAAAGAGTAGGGGATTCTGAGAAAAGAGGGGATGTGGGAAGTCTCTCTAGAGGGTGCCCAGAGAGACCCCAACATTGTGAGAGGACTCGGTACACTTTTCAGTCAGTGAGAAACAAGGGAGGAAGGCTCTGGCTAGGAGGGAGGGAGGAGGGCCAGACTGCAGTCAGGGCCAAGGAAGGCTTCCCCCCCCCCTTTTCTCTGAAAATGGCCTCAAGGGAAAATGTAACTGGAGGGGGTCTAAGAGGATGTTGGAGGACTAGGGTGGTGGCAGACGTCAGCTGGTGATGTTGTGGGTAGGCGGGGTTTTGATCTTGGCCATCACCCCTGGAGTGGCCTGGACTTGCTTTTCCCCATTGTATAGGCAGCACTCATGACTCTTACCCCGGGGAGGGATGTGTGTGTGTGTGTGTGTGTGTGTGTGTGTCAGGCTGGGGGGTCCCCTCCATGCCAGATTCCGGATGAAGGTCTGTGGCCGAGAACCCTGGAGGTGCTTCAGTAAAAGAAGCAGGGTAATTGAAG